TCTCTTATAGATATTTAAAAGTCCTTATTTTCTGAATGTGTTGATTGTGGCAGCAATCCAGAAGACCACTGTGTATGTGCTGGGTAGATAAGTAATCGACTTAACATCTTTTCCAAAAGCCAAGGAGACATCACAATCAGAAGATAGCATTGTAAATTAATGGCATTAATATAATTAGATTGTTATAACACAACAAATCTATGGTATGTGGAGTTATAGACTGCCTGCTCAATTACTGGAAACAAACAGATATGCCAATGATCATTTGTCATACTTAAATTCAAGCTAAGGGTATTTATTAATAGAGGAAAAGTTCCAGGAACTCTAGAAGCAGGGCCAATAAGGAATCTTACAGCCAATAACCCCTTGTGTCCAAGCACAGTAGGTAACCAAATATAGAGGTTTTAGTTTTCTCTTGTTATAACTCACTAAGCAATGATTACTTAAACATACATAAGATATTAAAACATTTCCAATGGAAATAGCTTTGGTTTTCTATTAACTTAATACACATTTTTCCATGAGAAAGCCCAATGTCTTATGTCTAAATGAGCTATATGGGACTTTGATATTAAGTTGGTGGCTTTTCTTTAAGTATGAAATACACATTTGCCAAACTCTTCTACATCGCCATTTTCCCAAGAAGATATTTTGAAATCATAAGATGTGCTACAGTTAATTTTCACTTACAGTTGTATCCCAGAATATACATATAATACTAGTAGTTGTGAACTGGATAATGCAAAGTCTGTCCTTCACAAATATCTCATATCTTACTGAAGATCTATTTCCTTGAAGTGAAAAAGCCTTCTAAATAGAATTCCAATTATTGTTGAATAAGTTATTAAGATGTACATCAATTATATGATTCAAGACAGAGAACTGAGCACACATTTTAAAACCTTCTGCCATTAAGACATCCAGAAAAAATACTTCAGAATTCTGAAGGAGAAATTATAGGGAAGAGGAGGACAAGAATATCAGAGGACTGATCATTTTATAAATTTCTTAAAAGTGAAAACATGTGGAATCAAACCTATGGATTAAAGAAGTGCCAGCTAATTTTAAAATTTTATGTAAGTAATGAGTATATTACATATACACACACATACGTATATCCCCAGCATATTGATTCTTCAGAGTAGGAACCTTCAGTATTGACATATACCATGGAGTGAAGTGTGACAAGGCTCTTGTCTGCTAGACCAAAATGAAGCCTTTCAATTGGTAACAAACTGTATCCACTCACATTGGGTTTTTTTTGTTTGTCCTCTTAAATCAGGTTAGGGGCCAGTAATAATAAGAGAAAACCACATGAACTATTTTAATCAAACTAGTTCTTCATCCATAAATAAAAAACAATCACTAAAGAATCATAAGACCTAGAGAATACCAGTAGTTTAAAAGAAAAAGACTGAGATAAAGAGACAGAAAGGCTAACATCAGCAGAGGCAGAGAAAATTAAAAGAAAAAGGGCTGTTAAAAGAATTCCAAAAGTACTCTCTCAAATAGCATTGAGATGATATTGCACTAAAACACAAGAAGATGCTGCTACTTAAAAGGAGTAGAGAACAAGAAATAGCTCCTGAACTTGAACTAAGTAATAAAAAATATAATAATCACAATTTACTGAATTTACTGAAAAACTCCCTGAACAAGAGTAAAACATCAAAGAGACTGAACACTTGAGAAGAAAGTAAAAAAGACATGGGAAGTAAATTTGGGAAGAACAAATTTTTCTAACAGAATTTGATGCATTCATTAGTCAAAAATATGTTGAATGCTTACTAAGTGCTACATATTATCCTCATGGATTTTGTCATGGTAGTGAATAAGAGTCTTTGCCCTAGTGGACTTTATATTCTATTTAAGTGGATAAACAATACTCAAAGCATTTCAAAGAGAAAGAAAGAGACAAGAAAATATAAGAGAAACAAAGAACAAATAAGAACCAAAAAGATAAAATAAGTAACTGATAGAAGAATATTTTCCAGACCTTCTAAATATATAGTGAAAGTAATTTTTAATCTAAAATTCTATACTCAACCTGGTGGGTGAAGTGGTATGCTGAGAAGAACTTAACAACCAGCTCTCAAAAAAAAAAAATAGCCAACCTGATTTGTATTATTTGATTATTTCTATGGAATAAATTCCATCACGACCAATTTCAAGACACCAAAAGTGAGGTCACAGAATTGAGAAGAGATACTTAGAAGTCAGCATTTGTGAGCTGGTATGAGCCATCTCCAGCATACCAGTGGGAGTAGTGAAATAAAGAATATATTTTTTTGAAACTCCAAGGCATCAGAAGTTCACCATTCATCTACTCTTTAAAAAAAAATTAGAATATTTTAGAAAATGAAAATGAAATGTAAGAAACAGGAGGATATGAGATCCAAAATATAATTGGTCTGATCCAGGAGTGCTTTAAGTCTTAGAAAGCAGTCTGTTTGAATTTCATCATATATCCAGTAATATAAAGAGAATATAGTTCTATTTTTAATGAGAAAACTATATAATTAGAAACTCCACCTGTTCAAGAAAGCCATAATCCAAATTTGGGGCACTGATTTTAAGAAAATAAAAGAAGTTTGAATTTGACATTTAGGTTATCCTTCTTTAAGAGAAATGGAATAAGTTAAAAAAAACTACTTGCTTTTCTACAGAACCAATGATTACATACTGCATTCTGTACTCTACAGAACTCATTATTTTTACTATAATATTTCAAATACTAATCTTTAGCAATTTCCAGACTTAATCTAGATATAAAGTATAGAAAATTAAATTATTCTATATAAATATACATAAATTTATTATGCTATATTATATATACTATGTGTTATATAGTATAAAATTATATAAAAGCAAAGGAAGGAAGGAAAGAAAAGGAGAGGAAGAAAGGAAGGAAGAAAGAATTGACAATACAAACTAATGACACAGCTAACAAAAATTGGGAGGGGTAAGAGAAAGGGATGAAAAAAGAGACAGAATCAATGTCATCTTATGTATAGGTGAGTTATATATAACACCAAAAAGTTATGGATCAAGAAATAAAAGGTTAAGAATAGTATCTGATCTTTAGAGGTAACCCATATAACTAAAGATAAAAATATAATTCACAAACTTTAAAGGTGTTTAAGAAGAAGAAAATATTAATGACCTTAATTCTTGATCTTAATGAGAAACCAATAGACGCCATCTATGGTTGACAGATTAACAGAATTGAGAGCTTATTATTTAGTGTTACGGAGGAAGCAGCAGAAAGAATTGACAGGAAAACTCTTAATTTTATCTTTCTGTACTTTCAATATTTCTTTTTAAAG